TAAATTAAGTAAATTAAGTATTTTAAGCTGTTTTAGATATTTAATTATAGTATTTTTAAAGACATTCTACGTACCACTTTTAAAGAGTTTCCTTTCTTTATTAAAGGTTCTGTTGGTGCAACTAACATGAACGAACATAGTTCCCGCTCTCATGCCATCTTTACCATCACCATAGAGTGCAGTGAAAAGGGTGTGGATGGCAACATGCACGTCAGGATGGGGAAACTCCACCTTGTAGATCTTGCTGTAAGTACCAGGATACTACATAAGGAATGTTCTTTCTTATATTTTATAAATGACTAAGGACTAAAGTGAAAAGGTATGATTTTTTAAGTTGTCACTTGTGTGTGTTTTTAACTTACTATCTATTATGGAATATTTCAAGCATATACAAAAGTAGATAGAATGGTATAATGATCCCCCAAGTACCCATCACCCAGCTTTAACAATCATTGGCTCATGGCTAATCTTTTTTCATCTACTCTCACCTACTTCTTACTTTCCTATATTATTTTGAAGTAAATTCTAGACAATGTATCTGATTTTTTACTGTTAAATTACTTTTTTTAAAACCTTTTTTAAAACCTTACCCCCTAGTTCCTGGTAACCACTCTTTTACTTTCTGTCTCTGTGAATTTGACTCTTTTAGGTACCCTGGGTAAGTAAAATCATAGTGTTTGTCCTTTTGCGTCTGGCTTATTTCACTTAGCCTAAGTCTTCAAGGTTCATCCGTGGCGTAGACTATTCTGTGCTTTTTAATTTTAGCTTTACTTTTGTCTCCGTTTATTGCTAGGGTTCAGAAAGACAAGCAAAAACCGGAGCTACTGGACAGCGCCTAAAGGAAGCTACAAAAATCAATCTTTCTCTTTCTACCCTTGGTAATGTAATTTCTGCCTTGGTTGATGGAAAAAGCACTCACGTACCTTATCGTAATTCTAAATTGACACGTCTTCTTCAGGACTCCTTAGGAGGAAATTCAAAAACCATGATGGTAAGACTTAATTGGTGGTATAGTTAACATCAGACAAATTTAAGATTCCAAGTTATGGCAATAATTGACATATATAACATTTTAAAAACTATTATTTTACTTTTTAAAATTTGTGGTTATCCCTTCTGTAGTACACCATATGTATTAGCCCACAGCAGTGTTGTTTGGAAACCCACGTGGCTGATGCTCTTTTTTTCAAGAAGGCCAGGGTGCATGTGTGCTTCAAAAATTTTTTTTCATATATTTGTAATGGTATTATTAATTTTACTGTGTCAAGTGTAAAATTTTTTTTTTCTTAATTCAACAGTGTGCAAATATTGGGCCAGCAGATTACAATTATGACGAAACTATCAGTACGTTACGGTATGCCAACCGTGCTAAGAATATTAAAAATAAAGCTAGAATTAATGAAGATCCAAAGGATGCTCTGCTTCGTCAGTTTCAGAAAGAAATAGAAGAACTGAAAAAGAAGCTTGAAGAAGGTAACTTCTCAAAATATTAATCTTTATGTTGACTATAAGTATGTTGTTTAACCCTAAGTACCTTAACAAAAACCACCTATTAAATGTTTTTTTGCACCTCTAACATGGATAGTTAAAAGAATATTTCCGGAAAGTAACTTGATACTTATGTACTTAGCATTTTCATGTTAAGGTTAAGTTAAATTACATAATATTGGTGTATGTGGTTTTTTTAAAATTAATTTAACTTAAACTGCTATCCTTTTTCCCATGACCTTTTGTACATTTCATATGACTACTTGTTAAAAAATTAATTTTTATTTATCTATGAGAGTAAATTCTACCATGTATGTATTTAGGTGAAAACGACCAGAGTTCTGGCTTTATGATCAATATCAGTTCACTATTTGAAGTAAAGAAAGATATCAAACAGT